ATTATGATATCTCAATAAAGCTCTAATATACGATACATAAACATTTCTTTAGAATGTTCTTTAGAACTTGTTTCCTTTAATTGCCTCGCTCATGCACGCAATGCTCGTGCACAGCAAAGTCATTTATAATTAGTATAATTATAATATAAAATAATGTCCAGATTTAAACAATTAGTTCGGGCAAATTACGCTTTTATTGCAAGACAAACATGTAAAAGGCAGACTCGAATCAGTTTAACACGACTCTCCTTGCGCGATAGATTCGGATCTTATGCATTCGCTCTCTCTCTCTAAATAGCTCAATTTGTAGCCTTCCTCAGATGGCATAGTCGTTTAGTGCTCCGGGGAGGCAGTAATTTTCAAGAACCAGATCGAAGTAGGGCACGAAAACGTGGTCGATTGGGCACGATAATATGACGGTCATTTAAATCGACCCAATTGCCACAAATTGCCGGTGTCGTTGATTCGACAAACACAGGGTACGTGAGAGATCTTATTTTCGGTGATTGCACGCGCGGAAAGCGAAAGCTTTTATTAATAACAATTATGGGGAGGGCCGAATGAAAACGATTCGAAACGTGTCCTCTTGCGAAAGAGAGGAAACAAAAAGGAAGAAACGAAGCAGCGAAAGTCGCGCGCGGATGTCTACTACTCGTCTACACTCGTTGCTTTACCAAATTAAGTTACGCGCCACGCATGCGTATAAATTATTCCTATAAAACGCATCAGTCATTTCTCCACTTTCTCTTCCCCGCGAAAATACGCTCGACTGCGAAAGAGCTTCCTCCGCATTAAATCCTAAACTGACACGTGCACCTTTTAATAAATCGCAGAAAAATTCGAAGTCGTAATTAAAGTCGCGCTACGTTTCGGAGACTCGTGCTCTTTCATTAAGACTTTGCGAAAGAAAAAAAGTTCTCTCATTGTATGCTTCGCGAACAGAGATCACGAAGTTTTTCTCAACGCGGGACGGAAGTTTATTTGCGTCAGAGTAGTGGCTGACGTCAAGAAAAACTGTAACGAATCAGTTTATGCAATCGTGCGATTGTAATTTATTTTTACGTTATCGTGGAATAAGAAAAGAATCTCGTTATCAACGATTCATTCAGTCTCACGGATAATGTTACGTGTTCGTTTCCTCGTAATGATCAATTACAAACCAACGCGGAAACGAGAACTTTGACGACGCCGGAGGGCGTTGAGTATCAGCCTTTTGCTTTCGTAAGACCTTCGATTCGGTGGAAGACCATTATAACTCACGTGTGCCCGCCTCATCACGGCCAGCTTTCACCCGGTAAATGCACACGTCGATCAATGCTTTCCATCCGGAGTGCAAGGTCGATGTTAGCCGAAATTTCTTTCATGCCTCTGGCCAGAGATTTCGATCTTTTTAAATATACATATACATGATACAGAACGATAAAAATATCAGATACTTATCTTGACTCGATATTAAGCATACTTCTTTATAATTATTTAATGAAAAGTCAAACCTGTCATACTTTAATCATCCAATTTGCCAAAATTTTCATTCCATCTGATCTTACTTTTTTTGCGCGCGAAAAAAATGTTGTGTCAATTGTCACTTCATTAATTAATCATCGTTCCATTATCGGGGAATAATTTAGAGATAATTTTGAACCGTTTGTGAACCGATCTTACCTAATGCGTTACGAGAACTGTGTAAGCATAATATTGCCTACACATGACGAAGGTGAGAGCAATTTAGCAACCGCGGTCTAAAATAGGCGAATAAAATTACCTGGCTCGCGCGAGAGAATCAATGGGCCTTGGACGCGAACTAGGTCAATGCGATAATATAAAATAATAAGACGTAGGTAGAAAATAAACGAACTTGGCAATTTTCCTGCCGTGGGGTGACACTTTGCGCCGCAATATTTTCTCTACTCGCCGCTTTCGATTAATCTCCATTTATTTTGATCCCCGACACATCTTTCAACGCTTCATTAAACGTGCTCGCGCGGTCGACTGAATTAAAACTCATATGCAATATTATATTTGATGAATCCTTTACATTTTTGTGGATCTAACAGAATATTAAACTCTTTTAGCGCAAGACTGTATATTAAAAAATTTCCCTTCAGGAATCCCTTTTTTTATTTTATATTTTTTCATAATCTAAAGCTTGCACGAGGAAACATAATTGAAAAAATAATTTTTATATGTCAAGACCTTTCAATATTTACATTGAGAAATTATATAGAATTTATTATATTTATTAGATGCATATTTTATATCATATTTTACGCTAGTTTTTGTATCTCGATTTGATTACATTCAAGAGAGCTCTTGTAATTAAACTGTTTTCTTATAAGAATCCTCACGTCTTATTCAGTTGTAAACAAAATAATTTACGTCGCGTCAGTTTCGCTCGACATACGCACGAAACAGCTGTTCTTCGCTTAAAAAGGCAACGGACGATCGTTCTAATCGAGTGCGCGCACGCAATTTCTCGCGAGTCACCGCGAGTTACAAGTTACAAATTTGGCAAGACTTTCGCGCGTCTCACAGCGGCAATCACCAGATGCTTCTCGCGCACGTATAAAATCCGTTCGTAATCCGAACGCGAGCGCGCAAAACGCGCTTTCTCCCCATCTAAGGGGACATTTGCTTGAAAAATGTTCGGGCCTGTTTATTTTTTTTATTTATCTGTTTTGCGCGGCCCGTTTTGCGCACCGCGTCCGCGTCGCCGCGTATAAATTTTCTATTTATCAAAGACACAACCGTGCGTAACGATCTGCGCCGGTTTCCGGTGAGAGCTCGCAACTTGTCGCAGCTGCTACCGGTGAACACGCGTGTGCGTGAGCCCTTTATGGGCGTGAAAGTCGTCGATCATACGAAGAGTCGTGTGTAATATCGTCTATCGAATATCCTGAATTTTTTCTTCTTTTTTTAGTGTCAGCTGTGATCGGTTCCGATGACACAAGGTAGTTCTTGCTTCAGCGAGTTTACCTGCACGTTGTGTGACACGAATAAAGTCGCGTTTCTACGTAAAATGTGTTCCAGACATACCGAAATTGTTTTAAGCAACTTCGAACAATCAATATAAAAAAAAGTTCATATAGAGACGATATATAATAATGGCATATTTTCGATTCGTCACGGTGGAACAATTCCAAGAAGTTTATTGATGATGAATTGTAACCGGCCGTTCGAATCCATTATTCGCAGCTTCTCGAAACGGAGATCCACGCGCGATATAATACACGAGTTAAATATCTACGAAGACACGATCGATCTGCCATTCTTCTCCTCTCTCCATTCATTTCATCTTCTTTGTGGCATCATTATGATCTCGTCACGCGTATGAAATCGAGCGATATCTTTCTCCGATGATGGCACCCCGATCGAAGTCGCTATCTCGGCCGGCCGAACACCGGATCGTATATATATAATTGATTTAGACTTTCGTCGAAATGCTTTTAACTCTCTGATTTGCGACGTGAGCTCCTTCGCGCGCTACGGTGAACGCTTCCTGCTCCGAACGACCCAATAATAATAATACTCTTACTCGGCAATTCGCACAGATTGATCTTTACGATCACTGCTGGCTTGTAGATTCGCCGCGTTTATTTCGGATTAGCTGAATTTGATCCACGTGACGCGCGCGATAGTAAAGTTAGAAAGACAGGGTCATTGCACTCCGACAGTGGATACACCGGTTCGATTGCAATGTTCGCGAGACGTAAAATACGCACGGAAAAATTATTTCAATTTGTGCTTTTATTTGCATCTTCAAAGTGCTGAATAAATATCATATAATAATAATAATAATAATAATATGTCAATGATATAAGAATTTTTCGATATAATAAATAATATTGTATAAATATACATTTAATGTAATAAATGATAAAAATGTAAGCAAATCAGAAAATTGTACTGCTATTTATAACCTCGGAGAGACATCGTTACGATAACGATTTGATTGCGCAGTCCAGCGTGCGCTTTCCAAAGTAATTAACTGCGTATTTATCCCCGTCACGTGATAACCGTTAATTGCTATTCCGTTCGCTTGTTCGCTCTTCCACGAGTAGTCATAAGAATAGCACGGATTTCGCCTAATGCATAGCAATGACCATATGTGCGAACGTGTCATAAGAAAGAATGTGCTGTTCCAATACGTCGATACTTATGTCGTAAATTATTAAGCCAGAATATCAATGAGAATAAGCGTATGCATGTAAATTTCTTTCTCGACACACATTTAATGATTTTCATTCTAATCTTTTTTTAATCAAAATTTTACAAAACTAGCTATTAGTATTATGTATCTTTTAATTATATGCAAGTTTATTTTAAATATAATCTTAATTAAAATCCAATCTATTTTTCGTTTTTTTTAATTTCAGTTTTATTAAAGTCGAACTTTGATATGTAAAATGCAAAAAAATAAATCTTAAGTATACAGAAGTTTACGACGTTGTGCAAGAAAACTTTTGCAAAACACGGCATTTCATTTATTTTGACTATGTCTCTAAAACTTTAAGAAAGATTTGGATAGGCAAACTACCCTTGTGTCAAGAGACTGACCTGTGCTCTGGCATTTCTGTCTCGAGAGCTTTAAATCTCGTCGTCTTTTGAAGAATTCTCAAAGGAGTGCTCGAAAAATGCCACGAGAACGTAACAAGAAAAAAACATTTAAAAGTCGAACAGATTTAAATAAAAGTAAGATAAGTATTTCCCGAAGAAAGAGGAAAAAATATGTATAAAAAGGACGCGGGACGATATGATATTCTTGGAAATCTCCTTAGACTTACAACGAGGGAATTACGTAAAATGCAAAAGTCAATTCAATGTGTTCAGCTCTCTCACTAATTAATTATCCAATAAAACTTTGATAAAAAAATCGAAATCTCCAATTTGAGATTAATCCAACTCTCGTTAAAATGCATCGCAACCTGAAGGTTGCATCTATGCTGCGCTGCGTTTGCTTTGATTTCGCATCGAATATATAGACAATTTAATGGAGTACTCACGCTCTTGCTATGGCTCGTGCTGTGGTGCGTATGATGGTGCGTGTCTAGTTTCATATTGGCGCAACGATTAAGGGCGTGCAGGCGCCGAAAGAGGCTTTGCAGCGAATCGGCCTCGAGGAAGGGATGGTCCTTGGCTACGCCGGAAACGTCTATCGGGAACTGATAATCTGCAACACGAAGAGGGTCAATTTTCATTTGCGTGTCTGGATTATCGCGCGCGAGAGCTGGAAGGGTAAGATATCGCGCTTACGCGCGTATTTACGTAAAGTGCGAAAAGTGCATCGCGCGGCGATACTTGATAAGGTTGAAAACATCCGCTGCGCATAATTGGCCACGTTTTGTTTGTTGCAATCCACGGCATTCAGGAGTCATTTGATTATATTATCGAGCGCGCTAAACGCGTAAGTATGCGTCAATAGACCGAACCCATGTCCACTTAGCTCCACACCGGGCATTAATCTTCTCGACGGGCCCGTCCATACGTCGACTTTCTGTGCCCTGCATTGTCAATCCGTCCCCACTCTCTCTGTTTATTTTTTCAGACAATAGCCGTCGATTTAAATTCAATTAAGGAAGTTAAAACGCGCGTTTTATTTCTACGTACAGTCATCGCCATGGAATTGTATGATTGGACTTCACATTCAACACGTTTTTTATATTTCTCGCAAATACTAACAAAATCTCCTGCGAAGTGATGTGTAATAAATGCAAAAGAATTTCTTCTATTAGTTAAATTCGCGAAAAAATCATGAAAATTACGATAAATTGTTAATAACTACGGATGATGAGTTTTAATAAATAAAATATTTAATTTAATCATATAAAATTATACTAGAATATACCGTACGATATCGTTCTCATGTATTTCAATTATATTATTATTTTAGTTATTAGTTGATTATTCCATCGAGCATAGTTTAAGTCATTCTATTTTGCGAATTTATTTTTAGCGGAGAGACTAAAATTATTATTATTATTCTAAAAATATAACAGACTCTTGTTTCTCCACGTCATCTAGAATTTCTTTGTAAATACGTCGCGGTCGATCGCTCGTAAAAGTTCGGGAGGTTTTCTGTCACGACTTACGTAACGCTGTTCTAGATCTGCTGAACCAGATCTCGAATCTATAATTTTTAAATGAGATCGCAGGATCAATTCTTCGGCTCTCGAAATAAAATGATCTTTCAATAATTGCGGCAAATAATCGCCGTAATAAAAATCTTTGTAAAAGATGTGATTATTCTATTTGTGCATTGAAGAAAGAAAAATCGTTATCGTTCTATTATAGAAAAGAATTTCTCGCGAACAAGCTGACAATGAGTAATTGAAATAAAATCTATTATGAGAACTATAAACGCGCGTTTATTCTCACTTATTAAACCGCACGTAGAAATAATTGAGAAGCAGCCCCCGATCGATAGCGGATAAGATTGACTAGTCATCTTTTATCTGTTCTACGAACATTAAATTCCGCGTCTTTCTCGAAACACATAAATACGCGTGTATATTTTCTAATCGTTAACACATTTCTTGAAACTAGGACGTAATATCGTATTTCGCGAATACGGTAAATATTCAAGTACCGTATTCGGCTCGAAGCAAACTATATGTAAATTGCCATAATTTATTTTCTCGATCCTTCGCGTTACTACTTATTTTATTATTTATTTTACTTGAATTTACCGCATCAAAAATATTGTTGTTATTAATAAATTTATTTAACTTTTCTGAAACTATATTAAAAAGCAAAATATATGTAAAAATTGTGATATTATATGACGGCAAATATTCTCGCGATAAAGTATTATATTATATATCAGACGACAAGGGTTGACGTTGATGCGTCAACGTTATATTCGACGAAGAATGATTCGATTCATTACGAATTTCACATCACGAATCGCACAGTGTAGCTTTTGCTGTCTACGCGATCATGCTTGCATCGATTATATTCTCGATACAACTCGATATGTTTCCTCGTAACAAGATCGTACATACTAACGATGTTACGACGCTATCGAATAGATTAATGTTAATGGCTAGCGATTACGTTCGTGCTTCGTGGATATACTAATTACAGATTAGTCATGTCTGGGAAATAGTGGGAAATCTGTCGATTACGATGCTCGTCTGACAAATCAATAGCAGGCAAACGTCAATTTCAATTATCATGACACGATAATGTCGACATTATTGATCTGTTTTGAAAAAAGATTTTCTTATATCAAATAAATATTTTTTCACATCGAATCAATATCATTAGTTTCAAATAAATGATTTATAAGGCAGTATTAAAATAAAATATTTATTTGAATTCAATAATTTTTTTATTAATTTAATAACTTTTTAATTTAATAATTTTTTGTTCAGTGCAGATGTACATATGTGTATACATCGAAGAGGAGAGTCTTATAAAATTTTTAAATTTATAAATACAAGCTTTTCTGTCTTTTATAAAGACATTCTTTCATAATCTCACGCTTTAAATATATTGTAACAGCTTCGAAACTTATATAAATCTGTCTGCTAATCGCCACGGGTAATAAATAAAAATGCATTAGTTTGATATACCAATATATTTTATACACATATTTGATAAAAATATTTCGTTTTCTTTTTTTTCGACACGTTTCCTATATTCCTTCTTCATATCGTTATATGATTAAGATAAATGGATTTTAATTCGCAGAGATTTAAATTCGCGGCTCGTCGCGTCGCACGCGAGACAGAAAAATTCACTCGCGAACGATTTGATAAATTTATCCTACGGTGCACCGGGCCAGGAATGACGGGCCAGGAATGGAGTGTGCGATCGATCAGATTACGTCCTTAATTTATCACGCCGATCGTCAGACACGACACCCACGTTTGGTCGCGTCGTTGGAATTCCACGAAGGACGCGATCAGCTGGGATCCTCCGTAGCCGGACACGATCAGCGGTAATATCCTTGCAATCGTGCACATCTGAGTATGTGTGTGTGTGTGCGTATGTGCAGTCGCGTGATTCTTATACGTATTTGATGGGCGGTATCGGTATCGGTATTTATATCGTGCCTTGCGCCGACCGACTCGGGTTCAACTGGGTCAATTAGCTACTATTCATAGTGTGCTTCGATCGCGAGAGCCCGCCTGAGTTATGATCAATCGTGCACTTTGTACACGGATATACGAATGTGTACGTTTCCAAACATACGTGCCCTCGCGCACGTGCGTGTACGCAAATTCGCACGCACGTGGATATAAACTCGTGCGTATGCCAGACCTCATAGATTATGTGTGTTAGAGCTATTGGTTTAGAACGAATAGAGTTTTAAAGCTGTTATAATATATCTCAAGCATGAGATTATGAAAGCATGTCTTTATAAAAAGATAAAAAAGTTTGTATTTATAGGTTTAAGAATTTTATTAAATTCTCTTCGATATATATATATATATATCTACACTGAAAAAATGAATTATTAAATTAATATTTATTTCAATACTGCCTTATAAATCATTCATTTGAAACAAATAATTTGAAATAAATATTTATCTGTTTTGAAAAGGATTTTCTTATATCAAATAAATTTTTTCAGATCAAATCAATATTACAATATTAGTTTCACAAATAAATGATTTATAAGATAGTATAAAATATTTATTTGAATTCAATAAATTTTTTTTTTTAGTGTAATAATTTTTTTTATAAATTTTTCTGTCATAAATATATTAAAAATAACAAAATAAATTGTTAATCATAGATGACAAAAATCGTATTAAGTTTTCTTCTTTGATATTAAAAATATATTTCGTTCAAAAAATAATCGCATAATAAAGCTACTGTAATGAAAAGGATGCGCCTGAATGCTATTATAATTTAGAGTAAACTTTATAAGCTGCATCATTCCTATTCGCCGCATTTGGCATCTGGGTCGCCACTGCGGCATACCAGTTGCATTTCTCGGAATATGTTTGTAGGCTACGGTAGTGGAAACCGCGAATTAAATTAAACTTTTATAAGACCGCCCGCTTGTATCCCACGCGTCCCGCAAAAAGTGAAAGTATATACCGTCTCATAAGTATTCTCCTCTCATGTCTAAGTATTCTAATTGCTCGCGTTACTGTTATGTAATTATCGACAACACCACCGTGTCGTTATTGCTTTAGCGTTAGATAATTGAATTGCTTCGATATAACGCGATAAACCTCGAGCGTTCTTAACCCTTAGGTTTGAATATACGTAAAGTCACGCAATGCATTTTTCTCTTCCTCGTATAATTTTTTATAATTAAAAAATTTAAATGTTAAAACTTCAAATAACTTACATTGAAATACTCTAACGCAGAAGGAGAATAATCTCACAATATTGGGATATTTAAAAAAGTGTGTTATAATATATATTAATTTTATATCAAAGTGTGTATTATTCAACAATTATTACAACTTCAGTGTCAATAAGCCTAATGTGAGATTGATAAGAATTATTTAATCAACTGAAATTTTTCGCGAGATGGCATTTCGAAGGCACGCGAGGAGCGTCAGCTGATCGCGCTGCAAACTCTTCGGGGTTTTAAACTCGACTTTGCTGCTAGGACGATCCCGTACCATTCCTCTTTTGGCATGTGGGTCGCTGCAATGTCTCCTGTCCAGCTGCATTGTTTATGGGGGCCTCGACCGGGGCAACGGTCAGCTCTACTGACTCACCGCGCGGAGTCTAACGTCGTTCGAGAATCGCGTTTCTAACGAGTCAAGTACAACGATTCGGGCCACAACAAATCAAACAGGACACGCTTGCTCCGCTATGAATTTATCGCGACTATTAAACGTTGCGCTCCGACCCTCTTAGCGAGACCACATTGCGCTAGAATCGTCGCGAGCAGCGCTTAAATAAACTTTCCGCCGGTGCGAGATTTTTCCTTTTCGTTCCCGAACGTCTAATTAAAGGCCTCGTGGATTATTGACGAGTCGCGACGGCGGATTTTATGAGGGAGATTTGTCGATGCGTTCGACGAGCTAATAGCTGTCCCTCGCATAGCCGACGTGCGTCGTCAAGTTGTTATTAGCGATAATGGAAGGATTGTTAACTTCGAAGTATACAATGCTGGGAATATTTAAATCATGATTTTTCTTAGAATCGCATCCCTATTAAAGTGCAAATAAACTGTAAACAAATATGCAGGTCGCATAA